GTTTCAGGTTTAGGGTTGAGGGTTCAGGGTTTACGGGCACTAATAATCAGAACAGGGTTCGTTTGAACGGCTCTATATAAGGGCTTGGATAGTTTCAATAGGCCTTATTGGCTTCCTTGAAGGGGCTAAACACGCTTTAGGGTTTAGGGTTTAAGGTTTAGGGTTTAGGGATTAAAGATAGCTCAAAGGAGGTAATTAGCGGAAGGGTTTAGGGTTCATCCCTTTAAGGCCTTAACTTAGTGTAGTATGCTGCATTTGTACATGGATGGACCTTATTCGGTCGCCGTGCAGGATTCGGGGCTTGGCACCCACCCGCAAACATGAATGTAGGTTTAGAGGTTCAATGCTCAAGGTTTTGGGGCTTGGGGTTTAGGGTTTTGAGTTGACGTGCTGGGTTTACACGATCGACAACATCAAATGTGCAGCATAGCTGCAAATATACCCGGTCATGCAGCACCTGATTGGGATTTATCGATGTTTGACGAGGTTCATGGGGGAGAGGTTGTGAGTTTTCCTCGGTCCTCTGCGAAGAAGCGGCTACATCTCAGAATGGCGATGGGAGTCTTGTAGCTTCCTTCCATCGGAGCGCCGCAGACAAAAACGATAATCGCTTTTCATATTTAAACACATTTTTGGTATGTATTCCAGTACATGCATGAATGCATACATTCATGAATACATACAGTCGGACTCAAGCCGCCTCATTCAAACAGGCAGACAGACCTAGGACAGATAGACAAACAGACAGATTGGCAGGCAGGCAGGCAGAAAGATAGACAAACGGACAGAAAAACAGACCAAGAGACAGAGACAGCGACAGACAAACAGGCAGCCAAGCAGCCAGGCAGCCAGGCTGCCAGGCAGGCATGAGTTGGAAGCGACGATAATTGCTAGCATAGGTGCATGCATGCACATGCACAGGCGGCACGCCAGACAAAAAACAAGTCAGTGAAAAGAATACACAAGCAGGTAGATGGACCAATGGACACCGGCACCTTACGTTCTTACTTGAGATTAGGCTATCTTGCTACTTGAAGCTCAACATTGACTGCGGTTTATAAACGGGCCCCTTTTAGGTATCTAAGCACCCTACCCGGGGACGTGTGTGTGTATATATATACATATATATACATAAACGAAGTGTGTGTGTGTGTCTATAAATATAAATAGACATATAAATATAAATATAAATATAAATGTAAATATAAATATATATATATATAACAAGTATAGATGTATATGTGTATCTAACATAACTATATCTCTCTATATATATAGCATATATATATATACACATTATCGCCATGACATGACTTTCACATACTTCTGCGATAACTGCCGATAACCCCTACCTGCTGAGTCCCAAGATCCATATGGAGCAAAGCCTGAAGGTCCATGTGCCCAAATAGTACATACATCGGCCCAGAAGGTACCAAATAGGGACTACATTAAGGCCAAAGTAAGGCGTTTGGCTATCTGCCGATCTTCCGGAGTGCGAAGGCGAAGCTCCGACACCACAAGGACCCAGTTAGGGTTTAGGGTTTGGGAGTTAGGGTTTAGGGTTTAAGGTTTAGGGCTTGGGGGTTTTAGGGTTTAGGATTCAGGGTTTAGGGGTTGTGAGCCCCATTCATACACGAACATGTTACAGGCATGATTCTTGCAACGGAAGGCATCCTAAGCCCTGAACACTACAACCTCCCTAGACCCTAAAACCTAGACCCTACACGCGAGACCCTAAACCCTAAACTCTAAACATGAGGCCCTGAACCCGAAACGCTATAAACTCTCGGGAGCCCATCAGGGTCTCTTGATCATCCGGGGTTTCGGGTTTAGGGTCTTGGGCTCGGGTTTGGGCTTTGGGGTTTGGTTTGGGATTTGGGAATTTGGCATATGGGAATTTAAGGTTTAGGGTCTTGGGGTCGGGATTCGGGTTTGGGGATTTAGAGTTTAGGGATAGGGTTCTAAACCCTAAACCCCTGAACCCCAAACCCTAAACCCCTAAACCCTAAACCCCTGAACCCTCAACTCTAAACCCTAAACACGAAACCCTAAA